TGTATAAGATGTTGTACTAAAGTCTATGAGCCTAATTGCTACTTACACTCACCTGCTCTGATAATGTAAAGGGCTATATTTACACTTACTTTAAGTTCCTTTATATTGACAGGAAAGCGTAAAGGCTCCTTAGTATGTAAATGAAAAATCAGGCTCCGTAAATCTTACATCCTACTGCTCTTTCCTTCCACCACTACCTTGTAATTTGGTCATTCAAATACTGCTCTATCTGCTGTCGCCCCCAAGAAACAGCCCAGTGACCCTTCCCCACATCTTTCCCACTCACTGGATTCAGCTACTGGTGTTTGATTCCATCCCTCCCCAGACACACTCTGTGTATTCCCCTTGCAAGGGATGGGCCTGACATAACCCATGTTTCATCAGAGGAGGCTGTGGCCCTCATTTTGACTGAAATAAAAGTACAGTACTGTTTTATATTACTAGTGTGACAGCTTTTGTTGTACTTTCTATTCCAGCACTCATGTCTGAAAAACATTAATTTTATCTATCTATTTGAATGAAACCAAACAGAACAGACCTTTCTGCGACAGCTGGTGCTTTACCTTGTCTGTGGATCAGCCTACAATACAGAAGTAACAATACTGTAGCTGGAGCTAAGGGCCCAACCCTGAAACGGGACGACTATTGAGTGACAATGGTAAAGAATCAGAGAGAGTCGTTTTCCTCTAACCCGAAACAAAACTCCCTTAGATAAAAGAAAACAGTACTATTCCTGAACAACTACTTTGTCTTGCACTTCTTCATGGTAGAGTTTTTGTCTAGAATATCCCCCTGGCCCATTCCTGCCTGGCATCCTACAGATTTAAGGGGATGGTGCATATACCTTCATATCTCCCTTCAACTACCCTTTTTTTTGGAGTGAGGGTATGAGCAATATTTAACACCACATTATAGATCCAGACAAGTCACCAGTTTCATCATTCAGACAGATCTGGCCATCTCTCTGCTGGGTATTGTCCAGCTGATGCACTTGGATTATTAAATCTGAAAGGTATAGATTCCTGTTCAATAGATTTAGGATTCTTCTCAACAGGACTAGCTCCTTTTACTATGATCATGGTGCATTGCTCCTAGCTACCACTCCATTTATGATCAGTAAAGGCATCTGAGAGATAATCCCTCAACATGGCAGGTTTTGTTATAGCATTCTCGCCAAGTACTCTTTGACTCTGAAACACATTTCTCCTCTGGTCCATCAGAACCCAGATTTGTGAACTGTTAGGACTTACTACAAAGTTCTCCTTTTCTTGCAAGTATTTAAGAGAGGCAGGGTGAGGTGAGAAAGGAAGGATTTGTTAATTGGAGTAAAATGGAATTAGGGAGTGGGAATGAATTTTGATTGCACACGTGGTCACCACTGTATTTTAGCAGTTAAATGTAATTGCTGATTGTACTCTTTTAATAGTGGTAGGGGCACCGAGAGCACAGGGTAGTTAATCTTAGTATGTATAATCTTAGCAGATCACCAGGGCCACATAATGCTTCCTGAGTACCCCCTCCTGGCTAGGGTTGCTTCTGTGGTTCTCATACCTCTATTTCCCCTTCAACCAGGCTCCTTGAAGGACTCACTCATTCACCAGTGATCTTCTAGGTTCACATCCTTTAATTCACACTTCACCAGTTCTCCACAGCCTGGGAACAGACTTTGCCAAAAAACAGAACTCAGAAGTCCAAACCATCCACAAAATGTTTCTGCTCACCTTCCCTTCTTTAACTCCCATTCACAGGTTTTATTTGGCTAGGGCTTTGCAGGAGCCAGACTTGCTCCTCAGAGCTGCGCCTACTGGTCCTAGGTCCATATAATCACCTCGTTCCTCAGCTTCCCCAGTTTACTGCCAGACAGCTTGCCATCTGGCAGTCTCAATTACTCTTTCTTAGCCATATGCCTCCTTGTACCTTCCTGGTGCCTTTTATATTGGAATCACTTAATTGCTCTCAGGTGGGGCATATCCTGTAATCAGGGCTGGCTTAGGCCCAGTCTCTCCAGCCCAAGGCCTAGTCACCTTGTTACAGTAAATTTTTAAAATCTAAATCCATCAGTCGAAATAAAGACTAGGGCCACACAGCAATTCAAGGCCACACAGCAATTCAACCAAGCTTGGAACCAGCTAAAGACACCACTTCTTTCTTCTGTACAGAGTACCTTGAGCAGTCTCAGCTATGTTGGAATATAGCTATGTCACAGTGAAAAAAGCTGGTGGCCCAATATTCTTCCCTCAACCAGTGTAATTAGAACTGGGTCCCTTGGTTTACATCTGAGTAAGCTATCAGCTGCATTTTTATGGTTAAAGAAGAAAGTTTGAGGCCTCTTTGGTGTCTTGTGGCCTCACATTCCTTAAGAAGGACAAATTAGCAACAGAATAAAAAATTCCCTCTAAGGTTGGTAGCACTGGTCTGATCTGTTGACCTATGAGCAGCAGAACGAAGTTCACTTCAGTGACTCATGGCAGAGGAGTGGGGGAGAGAAGAAAAGTTGCCCATGGCTCAGTACAGGGGGTCTTTTCATTGTAAAATTCTCTTAGTAATCTCTACCACTCTCCCTACTGGTCCATTCCTTTCCCTGCTTGTCCATTGTGGGTGGTGGGGTTGGAAGTTATAGGCCTGAAACCAGACTGTATCCTTAAATTCAGAGTTGCCAAATTATGGCTTGTTGTCACTGGATGTTTCTTCTGTAGTGCCAATGAGAAAACATGTCTTACCTTTTCTATGACCTTTTGATTTGGAGATTATATCTTTCACCATGAGAAGAACAAGCCTTTCCCCCTTCTTACTTCTTCATTTAACCTCTTTAGATCTACACAGATACAGACATGCCCATTCTGATTAATAACCACCATAGGGATGTGTCATTGTGATAGTCTCATTAATGTGCCCTGTCACACCTTCTCCTCTGTCCTATCCAGTTCTTCCACTTTGGGAAGTAGAGGGCTTGATTGTATTATGCACACAGAGTATGGTTTCTTCTTTCAGCAGGACCACACTGGTTCTCCTTTAAGTTATTTTCAGTGACCACTCTCCCAACTGTCTCTACATATTTTATCAAGCCTGTCTCAATAGATATGGTTCAATCTACTTATGATAATCTCATTAATGACAAATATTCCATGCCCGTGTAGCTACTTTAAGCTTTGAATTGACACTGGCCATTTATCTGTCCTTCGGGAACACTAAGGGCCTGATCAAAATCCACTGAAGTCAAAGTCAACCTAAAGAGATTAAATTGGTTTCTACTGACTTTAGCTATCTCTGGTCCAAGCCCTGAAGTAGGCTATGCAATCCTAGCTCTGCCCCCTTTCTCAAATAGTATTCCATACTATTTTTTCTAGAACTTTTGGTACATGTGTAATACTTTCTCCTACTGTGTACTACTCTGGGTGTGCCAGACAGTGTCTACTAAAGTCATGTGAATGTAAGATGCACAGTGAATGAAAGAAGGGCTAAGTAAAGGATTCTCCCTCTACAATATCCACCAAGAATCCATCAAGGATTCTCTGTGCAACTGACAAAATACTACCTATAAAGCTGCAGGGGAAAGACCAGAAGGCTATTAAATAGGGTTATTTGAGAAATAGTGTGTGACCATGCAATTAAAGATTGGCGCATAATACAGGGGCAGGTGAGCAATAAGGTTGAATGGGCCACCTATACTTTCCTTGATTTGGAGTCCTTAACTCTGCTAACAGGGGCTTTTGTTTGTACTTTCCTAGACCTATTTAAAAGGCAAAAGAAAAGAAATGGCCCAATCTGTAACTGTTTGGCCAGCCACTTCCCGCGCCACTCACGGTGCCCTGAGTGCCTTCATTATTGCAGAATTATCCTTGATGGCTTTTCTGACAGCTGAGGCTCACTTGCAGCAAATCACGGCAGTACCTCGGTTTCCTGCTGTATGTTACCCGTAGTAACAGGCGGCGTTGGGTTGGACCCATCTCCTCTGGGCTTTGGGGGAGAAAGCAGCCCCTTCTTCTCTCGTCCCCAGGACACTCATGCTGCCCCGGCTATATAAGCAGCTGCCCATTGAGCTCTTCTCCAGCTCCCTTTCAGATCCCCTTCTTGCACTGCCTGCCTAGTGAGGGCTAGTATTTCCTCCGGTTTTATTGCAGACGGAAAGGCCTCCCTGCCTAATCTAATTCCCCTCTCCTTTGTCACAGGCAGATGTCACTTTTACATCTGTGCGTCTGTTCAAACGCCCCCCCTCCAGCCCGGCAGATGTTACCACCGGTAACGGAACGCCAGCCAAAAGTAACGCGCAGGTCCCTCTGCTGGAGGGAGCCTGTTGTGTGCCAGAGGCGAGCGCTCCCCTGCTTCTTTCCTGCGGGCAATCCCCCCTGCAGAGACCAGCCCCAACACATGCCCCCAGAGCACGCCCAGCATACCTGAACATACGTGCCAAAAAGCGGTCCTCTGCACACTCCTATAAAACACAGCAATGAGGCACAGCGAAAGAGGAACGTTCATCAACTCGTAACACAAACTCAGCACAGAGCCCCACAATTACACACACAACAAACGCTCAGCCAGGCACAACACACCAATGCACACACCGTACGCCTTTCCTCGCACATTGCATGTAAGTAGTAATACTCTTACACGCACGTAACACAGAGTTCACACATGAACGCACGCACAGACCACACCATTCACTAGCCTGCAAACAACTTTCTGAGAGGCTGAAAAAATCCATTTTGTACTAGACGTAGTCCAGGAATTAACCACTTCTGAAACGAACTGCCAACCCCCTTGCTTCAATAGGGCTTCTTACACTGGTGACTTTCGAATGGGTCGAGCTATGTCAGTATAGCTGTACTGGTGGTGCAAACCTTTAGTGTAAATGCACTGTACTGGGAGATACAGACACATCACGTCTCCACCCGCCCTCTCACCCCGCCCCCCCCCGGCAATGCCTCAGTTTCCCCACAATACTTTCTTCACACGCGCCCACTCCCTCTGACACACAAACATAGACACGTAGTCAAAACACCTTCAGACTAATCAAGCCATGTTGTCTACAGGCTGAGAAAGAAGTGTTTATTTGTCTTCTATTTTAGGTGCTTTGGAGGAACTCAAATATTATGGGTATTTAGATAGATAGATAGATAGATAGATACACCACTGTAGCATATACCCATAAAAGCACGTCGGAATAGTTAAATGTAAGTTAAACGTTACAATATGGTGAGATCTGGGGAGGGGAAAACCAACATAAAATTCACTCGCATTGAGAAAAATGTTATTGACCACTATTTTTGTTGCTGTTTCTTGCTGTATATTCTGGGGAGCTAGTCTGATAACTAACAGATTCATCTGATCCGGCGGCATGATACAGGTCAGAGGATAGTGACCTGCAGTAATGATCCTAATGGCTAAAAGAAAAGCCCCATTTTCCTCTTTTAACCAAATCGACGACTGCATAGTGAAAAATCGACTCCGACGTGACATCCACTGCGGAATAATTTGAAGGCTTCCCCCAAATAAAGCAATCAAAAAGAAATTCTCACTGGTATTAATATTTTATTCATCCCCATGTTACTGTGTTTAGCCTGCGGTAAAACAGATTCATAGAAGTGAGACATTATGGGCCTGACAAGCGTTTTCCCATGAATTGCTACTCCAATACAATGGCATTTTGTTTGCTGTTTTGTTTCGCTGTCCTCTAACATTCTTTCTGACTTTCAGGGTGGAGGAAAAGATTCTCCTCTCTGAATAGCGAAGAATAGGAAAGAAAAGTTTTAAAGAAACTTTCAGCCTTGTTTCATTCCGGTACTTGATAACATGTAAACATTCCCCCGCTTCGCACAGTCCCTGACTTTCCTTTGTTTTGAGCTGTTTTTGCTTCTAGCATTACTTCTGTCCTTACTGAGTCAGTAATCTGGGGAGAAAGCTGCACACAGCTCTCTGTTTCTCGAGCCTGTATGAGTAAACAGCCAGGCAGGGAACTGTCCCCAGCTCTGGTTGGCTGGATTTGAATTTGTGATCTAGACAAAAGGTCTCTTTTGGAAAAAGGCTACTAGGGGCTCTAATTCTATTTGTGCCGCTTGGAAATCAGAAGGGGTTTTTCCACACTTCATTTTGATTCGATTATTTCTTACGGATGGTTTCGCTCTCCCCTCACCAGACGCGTGGGGGAAGGCTGCTGAAGCAGTTGGCCTATAGTTGCAATAATCAAATTAACCATTTGCTACAACTTTTAGGGAGAGCAGCTCGCGTGTAGAAAGAACAACTGGAAACAAAACCCAGGGGCCGGAGCCTGTGCGCCTCGGAGAAGCCCAGCGTGACTTTCATCTGCAGAGGCGAATCAAAACATCCACAAAAGATTTTACACTGGAAAAAAAACACACACACAAAACCCTCCTCCCATAAATAAAGCCGCAGAAAGGAGATAATAGAGTCAAGTGCATTAGCTCAGCGGACCGTAGATCGGCTGGAAGATCCTCCCGTGTAATGACTGGGCATGAGGAGCTCACTCCCCTCAGAGGCAGCACCGTTTGGCTTTGCAGGGCAAAGGGGCTGGCGGGGGGATTGAAGGAGGAGAGGGACAGGCCACGGCTGGCACGATCGGGGGCAGAGGTGGGAATGGGGGAACGGGCCCAGCTGGCCCGACGGACGGGGAGACAGGGGTGTGTGGAGTGAGCTAGGCACCGCTGAGAACCCCCGGGCTGGCAAGAACCAGGCGCTGAGCTGGGAACGGGCCCTGCCGAGCAGACTGAAGCCAGACAGGACTCGAGCACCAAGCTGGCGAGCCTGGATCCGGGTAGAGGGAGACAGGGCTGGGCCGAGGACAACATGGAAGGGAAGCGCCTTCTACAGCGCTGGAGCAAGCGGGCTGGCACGGCGCGCAGAGCCGCACTGACTGGTGTGGGTAGGGGCAAGAGCCGAGGGCGAGGCATTGCCAGCGAGGCTCTCCGTAGGTAGCCCTGAAAGCCCCGGACTGGTCACAGTCACGGCCGCGCGCTCATGCGCCCACCGCTGCAGAGCCCTGAAGTCCCGGCTCCTAGGCTGAGTGGTATGATCACATACCAGACAAGGGCCCGTCACTCTCCACGCTGCATGTGTCTTTAGCGCCATAAAATGTGCCTGGAGAGCAGGGTCTCTCTTCCCTCCACGAGGTGTGATGCGTCCCTGAGGGTCTCTGCACGGAAGGCCTTTCGAGGTCCAAAGGAAGGTTTTCCATTGTCCTCAGTGGCCTCTGGATCAGGCCGTAAATCTTCGCCTATTTACTTACACTCCGCAGCGTGCCAGAATGTTGTTCCTGGGTGAAAGATAGAGGCCATGAATTACAAACAAACAAACAGCCAGGGAAACATTCCAGGCCAGATCCAGGAAAGAGCAAATCAGACAATAAGTGCCCTGCAAGAGACACACTTTGAAATTCTTAAAAATTCCATTTGTTGTTTCAGAGGTGAATAGGTACCTCCCTGACCCAAATGTGTATTCATATTCATGAGCGCGGGGGTAAATAAAGACAAATCCCGGCTGTAATAA